CATTCACGTATACTCACGTACTATAGTACTGTACATGTGTACATGAACCTCTTGTATGTAAGGAAACTGAGTGGGACCACGCGCGGCAATCGCGATTGGCCACAACTCGGACAAGCACATATGAAATACACACGGGACTCGGCAACCTGACTTTGGACAGTAGGATGGGCAGATTCCGACAAAAACTGATGTTGATCCTCAATAGGCTAGCAGCTATTTTGTAAGCATTACACACCTTCAGGCAGCTTCAGGGAAACGCTGGTGGCCGACTGGTCAACGTACGTCAATAATTCATGACGTCGATTTCAGTTTCATTTGCCAACTGACCCTTTATTTGCCGACTGAAAAGAATTATTGGGGGGGTTCAACTCCCCCACACCACCCGCTCGCTATGCTGCTGACAACTGAACTTGTTCACAAGTTACAGTGTACATGTATTTTCGTACACACCAGAATTGTGAAGGGTTTGAAAAAGTAACCACACTCTATAAACAGCCTGAATGGATTACTTTCAAGGGAATTGAATTTATGTACATTAGTTTGTGTGCATTTTAAAATTTGTGAAGACTTTACCATAGGAACTTCAGCTGCTGGGCCTGTGATGTCAGCATTACCAACACCAATCCTGTAGTTTGCAGCTTCTTTCTCACTTGTGGTCCATTGCCTCATCGTCAACCATTGCCATAGGTGCCACTCTCTCCATGATGAAGTCTGAGATTCAGGACCTGTTTTGGGGCTGAAGCTTGCATTGACGGCAGTGTAGAATAGGTGTACCAGGAAAAAAACTGACAGAGTTACCTGTCGCACCATCCTGCATTACTGTCAAGACTGTTGAATGACCCAGCAACATGTGCATAAATGTACTGTACATAGTTGAATTTTGTGGCAGTAGTGGGTTGGTTTGAAGAGATTTATGGACTGGTTGAAAAATTTATTATGTACATGTACCCGCAGCTTTACCTGCAAAGCCTCAGAACACATCTGACAAATTTCTCTGGTGCAGTACTACCTGGAAGGCCCCTCATTATTGAGTGCTAAAAATATTGTTGCACCCAGCATATCTGCCACAAGTGCACTGTACACATTACAGCCACCAAACCCGCCATTTCCTGACATGGCTTAATCCTCTCAAAGTCAATATGATTTTATGTAAATGTACGTGTACCCTTGGGAGTCAGGGTTAACTTGTTTCTAATCACAAAAATGGCATTTTGTTGAACTGTTGTTGATAACAAAACATTCTGTGGTTACCACCATCATGATTGAAAAAAAATACATACTCTACTCAAAAAAAGTTAAAGACCACTTTTTTCTTAACTTGTAAATTTTCCAAGCAATGAGTGGGGTCAAGTTCTTTCTTTTTTTGTTTGTCTAGATGGTGTTCTTATTGGAATAAAAAATTTAAAAAGTTTCAAAACATTAAATGCACATTTTCATGATGAGAAATTGGGCAATCTCAAGATGGACAGTGTCAAGGAAAAGACCTGAAAATTTTTTCAAAATGTTCAGTCTGCATGTCTTTCAATCAGCTCAGTAGTGAGTGTGGCCTCCTCTTGCAGCAATACTAGCGGCTTCACACCGCTGTCTCATGGAGTTAATGAGGCGATTGATGTCACTGACATCCAGCGCATCCCATGCAGCCTCCAGACATGCCAGAGCCGCACCCACCTGCTGCAGTCCATGTGGCTGTGCCTCCAGCTGCTTGATACTCCTTCCCATCATGTCCCAGACAAGTTCTACTGTGGGGTCTCTCTGAGTACATCCCTGTCTCCCAGTGTCGTTGGTTTGCTCTGCCGATGACATTGTGAGACACACCCATCATTTGGGCTACTCTTTGCTGACTGGAGCCAGCTTCCAGCATCCCAAGGGCTCTGGCAACCTCTGGTTCACTCAGGTGGCGTCTTGGCATTGCTGCTGCAAGTTGTCTGATTGTGGAGACCAATGACAGAAAAATGCCCTTGCACCCACTTTTGTACCACTTCACGTGGTCAGCTGATACCCTAAAGGCCCACATTTCAGGGTGTGAAATGATGCAAGAGACATTATAAATGTATGTAACAACTGAAACAAACCACGGGTGGAATTGATTACAGTTTGTTTGAGGTCATTCAGGACAATTATGTTGGGATATTTTCAGCAGTGGAATATAAAAAGTATGCACAAAATAAAAATTTTCCTTAACTTTTTTGAGTAGTTTATGTACTGGTGCATAGACTCATAATGTCGATGTGTACATGTAAGCTTGCCAACACATTAATTTTTAACAGAAAATTCATGGGATATGAATTGAAAAGGTAAAAAAGTAACCTTGATGTTTGTTTTGCATATATACTGGTACATAATTACATGTACATGTACCTACATGTACCGGTAGCTGTCCACACCAAAACAAACACCAATCCCAAAACAAACACCAGAAGCAACACCAACCCCAACATCAGAACCAACACCAACCCAACCCCAACCCCTTACATGTACATGTAAAGTGCATGTATTTCACATTTCCAACTTTACTTTGTAAAGTTTTGTTACGGTTTTAAAGTGCATGTACCTGTACCTGTAATCACCACAGCTCTTTGGGCTGCATTATCAATTTCAGGTGTTTAATGCATGTAGAATCATTCAAACTTGAAAGAGTAAAAGCCCTTACAAATGTTTGATGGAGAAAGTTCACTTTGTGTGCCAAAGAAAGGCTTGATTTATGCGGCAGACGTCGCGAAATCATCAAACAAACTGAGCGCGAGGGATTACTCGCAATCTGCACAGACTGTGCCTATGGAGAAGCATATAAATTACATGTACACGTGCATCGGTTGTCACGAGACATGCTACCGGAGTTTTGAAATGCCTGAATGCTGCTTGAAAACAAAAGTTACACAAAACAACTAAGATTCTCTCTCTGAAGCTTCATCTTCCCCTAAGAAACTCTCGGCTAGATCTTTTGGAAGATCTTCAAGACTCTGGCATATCTGGTGTGTTGCCTGTTAACTTGAATGTACATGTATCATGGAGTAAAGTTGAGCTGTTCTTCACTCAACGTGGGAAATGCGTCAAGGATAAGATGTTGCAGGCAGAAATTTTTGATGAAGGTAAGCTGCACATTACAATCAATTCCAGTCAGGCAAGGGCATGTTGATTGAAGTAGCTTTTAAAATTCCATAGTAATTTACCGGTAGCTCTATGTACATGTACATGTGTGTTGGTATTTCAATTTCAGTCCGTCATGCCCACCATCGAAGCTACATGTACATGTATTTCTAGTAACTTGGATTCAACAAATGAACTTTTACCATGAATTGTGCTAATAAGGCAGGAGCATGTACATTACTGCAACTGGATGGCAAAGTTGCTTAAATCTACTATGACGTAACAATACAAATCCCCATGCGCGCAACGTGTACACATACATGCTGTTTGTGTACTAGTATAGTTTGACAGGAAGGCCAAACTTAAAAGACGAGGAATTGTTACTTTCCAACTTAAGGACACTTAAAACGTCACTTGGCATGCTTGGTTTCGAGAAAAGCGTGCTTAAGTATCGGACAGAGGCTGTAATAAGGTTTTGATTGATCTTCAACATGCCAGATCATAGTTACAGCAGCTCTCGTACACTGCCGATAGTGTTGACGGTCGCGCTTGCACCTGTCTAATTTGCATCTTTCACAGGAAAGGTCTAATGGACATTGGGTCTTGGCCAGGCCAATCCAAAGATCGTAAAAGAGAGGTACTAGCCAGCCACCAAGTGGGATTAGCAGATTACAGGCATGACGGAAATGCATGTACACATGTATACTGATTGAAAATTACATGTAAAAAATATTCACACATGTACATGTACCGGTAAGTATGATTCAATCTGACCAGATGGGCTGGCAGTATTAAGCAGTACACCTGTAAATAAGGCCCTTCCCTTGGGTCCTGGATATAAATACGTGTACATGTATTTATAGAAACAGCTTTCACATTTTTTAATGTTTCACCCACTGACACCCACAAATTCCCTTGAAATGACAATCTGGGAATGGCTAGTCGCATAGGTAGTACGTGCTGGTGGAATTTCAGCTCACAAAATGTGGTGGATGTCAGTGGGTGATTTGAAAATTTGAAAGCTGTTTTGTACATGTGTATCCGTCCAGGACCCAAGCATTGACAGAGTACATAAAGATGCCTGATTAGGGGTCCACATTAAGCAGCAGCCTTTATTTGGACTGATAACAGAGACAGCGCAGACAATCTTTCAAAAAATGTCAATATCTGGCAAAAAATAACGTTTAACAAACTGGCTATAAGAATAAGAGCACAAGCAAGATGGTTTAAATTGTGTTTTCTTTTAAATTTCTTTTCCAGGAATGCTTTGTTAAGCAGCAGAGAGCAAAAGAGATGAGAATGTTTTGATACACATTTGGAACAAAGATTGTGTCGCTCTGGAGGTTTGATATCGCACCTCTTATTACAAATTATACACTCAGTTCCTTACAAGGAAAAGCAAGGGTCCTGAAGGGTAAGCCGTAGACAATATTTGATTGATGTGTTTTCCTATTTTTTTAACTTAGTTTAAAAATATCTCCTTTATTTTTGGGATAATTGAACAATCTTGGCCTCATGTCTTTCAATGTCCATTATCATTATTTTAGGCTTCTTTTAAAATTAAGGTCGTATTCAAAATCATGGTGAATAATGTTGACAATAATGCAGGAAATGATTTTTAGTAGATTTCATTCAAAACTCTGATTAAAACCACCATTTGTGATGATTGGAAACCAGCACTTGTTCCAGCTCCCACTGTACGCTGGGGTCTTCATTTGCATGTCAACACAGTCAGACACTTTTATAACTGCTGGCTCATATCAATTCTGTCTAGACCTTGTAATATTGGCAAGTTGAAGTACATGTACATACCTGCAAAATGTGTTGTACTTGTAGTTACCTTTTGTGAAGGGCATTGTGCACAGTTGCAAGTACGTGCCTGCATATCTAATCACCATTCTGACTCATTGAATTGTACAAGCATAATTGCCAAAGTAAGGCCAAGCCACTCCTTCCTACTGTTTCTTCAATTTTCTCAAAATGGCTTCAAGAGGGTGTGATGGGAAAATCTGTTTGGATGAAGTGACCGGTATAAAAGCATTGTTTACTGTCTGATTGTATTAAAGGAATGAACTTCAGATGGAGCACCAAGCTAGAGGCCTACAAAATGTTCAGCAGAGATAGTGATTAATGGCCAGGAAATCATGAGTATGTCAAAGATTCCTCAACTGTTCGTGGCAATGATAAAAAAAAGATGATAATAAAAAAAAATGGAACTAACATTCATTCGCACCGGTATGATAAGTTGAAAGTTATCGAAATTGCGCCGTGCTTACAAAACTGACTCTTTATATATAAAATTTTCAAAACAACAACTACATGGATTGACATTGAAGTTGGAAAGAGAAGGTGTTGCATAGGCAGTCTAAAGAGAAGGTGTTGCATGGGCAGTCTGTGAAGAGAAGGTGTTGCATAGGCAGTCTGTGAAGAGAAGGTGTTGCATAGGCAGTCTGTGAAGAGAAGGTGTTGCATGGGCAGTCTGTG